TTTTTTTTTTTTTTTTTTTTTTTAAATAATTAACAGGTGTGTCGAGAAACGTGTACAAGAGCGAAATACGTTGCTTCGATCAGAATCGAGGACTTTAGAATCATGTCGTTGGTGCGTTTGAAGCTGGCGGCGCGTCAGTACGCCATATTGAGCTACCCGATTGGCTAATCGTGGTGATCTGCGAACAAAGTCACATTCAATTGAGTCTTATACGAATATTATTTATAGTAACCTCTACATAAATTTCTGCATATATTTTTCAAGATCTATTCCAACGAACGTGCGAACATTTTTCACAACACGATATTACGATTTTATGATTTAAACTAATCGAACGAATTACTGAAGAATGACACACTGATACTGTCGAGAATGAAAAAGTTCACAAAGACAGGTCTCTGCTAATTGTTACCTTATTGTCGTGTCCGATTAATGGAGTTTCTGCCGTGGTCTCGTCGTTGGTGCGACTCATGTACGGATGCGGGGGTGGTACATAAATCGGCTTAGAATGACTGGCGACTTGCGCGTAAATCGTCGGTTCCTGGATTGGTTGCCTACGCGTCAGAGTCGACATGGCCAACAGTTGAGGCCGTTGAATATTGGATATCTGTACCGGCTGATAACAATTAGGAGGTATTCGTCGGTTACGGAGCGACAGCTCGGCGTACGTTAGTTCTGATCCCTGCAAAATCAGAGGGATAACCCGTTACTGGTCATGAAAATTAGCGATTCAGTGATTTAGTAACAAGACTAGTACAATGGTTCGCGAATCGATACATCAGACATGTACGAATGTTCCTGATAGCCTGATTCTTTTGGATAACTCGACTCTTGGATAGCTCGATTCTTTTTGGCCTAATTGTTTCTGACTTTTTCTGACCTAGTTTCTTCATACATACTGTCCGATTCTTCACACGTTTCACAATTTTCTGCGACAAATATTTTGAAACAAGCGCCACAGGATATGAAGCTTGATCGAAGTTTCTTCATTTAAATTTCAAGATGCTTCTTTCTTTTTATTTGATGCGTCTCACGTATCACGTATTATACATTGGCAAATGCCTGGTTGGTTGTTACATCGTTTAGGCGAAAGTCATACTTACATTGCTCGTGTTGGTGAAAGTACTTGCGTCCGTTCGTTGCTGGTGTAACACGTATCGCGGTGAAGTGCCCTTGCACAGTTCGGCGTAAGAATTTTCTGCGGGAAACATAGAGTTCAAGATGACTGTTAATGTAATTACCGAGGCTAGTAGAACACTTTGCTGCGTCGTCGAGATAATTGGTTTTTAATTCACTCGATTCAACCGAGTCCTCGACGAAACTTCAAAAATTTGCAAAATATATCTTCGAACATGTCTAAAAATAAATCTCTCTTTTTACAATTACCGAAAGATCGCGTCCGTTTAATGAACTTGTATAAATATTAAGCTCGAAGGAATGGGTGGTTAACTATACCACACAGAGCTATACCGGTATAATGACGCGCTATCAGTCTCAGCGATTAAATTACCCACCATTAGCGTGAGGAATTATGTCTGGATCCTTCTCGAAGCTCTCGATGCTGTCGGAGTTGAGAGGCAAGGTCGACGATTTATCACGTGGAGAGGAACTGCCGGTTCCGGACGCAGCCAGGTTCGCCATGCCGCCATCGTCGTGAGAGTCCTTGTCCTCCTGAGACCTTGGTCGATACCGTAATCTCACCGCCAGAACTATCACGAAGATCACTAGTAGAAGGCCAGCCGTTGCTCCGACCACCGCGCCGAGCAGTGGTCCGGACAGCGACAGCATCACCGGCGTTAGAGCTGGAAATCGCGATAAATATCGTGAGTCTTTCCTCTCCCTTCCATTCGTTCGTGGGACGATCTCGTTTGTTCGAGGGAGCCAAGGGATTATTTCTCGGGATACTCGGGCAAACGACTTTCCTCGCGATCGCGACCGTAAGAAAAACGAAATTCTTTTTTTTTTTATTTTTAGTTTTTTCTTCTTCGTATGTCGTCGTGGATTTCTAGGATCGATGGATTCGATGGATTTGTAGGATCGTTTACGTTTAAGTAGATCACGTGACGGTGATGGAAATCTCGACTCGACAGCGGATGAATCGCACTTAGAAGATTTAGGATCTTTAGAAATCGTTTTTAGAAATTTTAGAAATTTTTTTTGTTAATGTTTATCTGAGAAACGTAATTTCTTTAAAGGGGGATTGATTTCTCCAATTCAAGTGTGCAGGGAAATGTATATTTGAATGTAGTCGAGTCGAAAGGTTTCAATGATTTGGAAAAAGACTCGTATACATCGAACGAGTGCGAGTTAGTGTTTGATCGAGAGATTGATTCAATCTGGATAATAAGGAACAGATTGAACGAGCAGAAAGAGACAGATGAAACGATGAAGTAAGATTAATAACTAGTCGGTAGAATTCGCCACTGCCTGAACAAGTAATCTACTTGCAACCAGATCTGATGATGAAGCAAGTAGTATAGATACATTATAGTCAGACGGATCACGAAATTGTCTACCCATCTAACGAATCAAAATAAAAAGTAGATGTTTTGCAATTCTCAGAATTCTTGAGGTATCTCCTCTTCTTCAAAATCATTCTTTCCTTTCAATTTGGACATACTAAAATTGGAACATCCCGTAGAAGTGGACGATCAGTTTTTTCTGTTGATTAATTTTCTCGATTGAGACGAAACGTCTGAAATTTTATGTTCTAATTTTGCTTTCGTTTTTTTTTTTTTTTTTCAATAATTAAACATCCTAGTGCAGTATTTTTTTTTAAATCTGAATTTTTTCCAATACAAAACACGAAACACGTTGGTCGATCCTTTTTCAAATTATCAGATCGCGAAATCAAAGACAGTTTGTTGAGCTAAGGAATTCAAACAAGATCATTCAGGCGCGATCGTGATTCATTTGCTGCCGTAATTTCGAGCTCCGAGCGCGGATTGATTTACGTTTCTCCTTTCGCATTCTAGTTAATAATGGATTAATATCTCGATAACAAACGAGCGCTCGGTTGATTAATCATGGTCCAATGCGTTTCGTATTTAGCCATCGACAATTATGTAAATGAAATATCATCGCGGCGTTTGATCGTCGTTTCTGACCGTGACAACGATAATGAACGTGAGCTCCTGTGCTTCCAGCTCAAAATAAGGAGGACCATTATGGACAAAACTTTTTGAAATTTCATTATTATCGTCCACGTTGTCGTACACATATTTCATAATGGGGGAACATATATACTTTTCGATTCAAAATATTTTGCTGTGTTCCATGAATTTTATTCTACTAAATGATTATACCTTACGGATATAAGATATTTGAAATATAAATAATCTCAAGATGATGATCACAAAGATCCAAGCGAATAGCGATCAAACTGTCGAAATTTTTATACAGCTTCATCCGTTAGAGGATAGAAATTTTCTAACGAAGTAAAAATTTAATTAAAAGTTCAATGTACAAAATGGTCAACACACTTCGTAGCTATGTATGCAGGAAGCATCTGTTCGCCAGTGTCTTCTTTTCAATTTTTGCAAAAGGTCTTAGATTAAAAATAACACTTTGGTATCTTTTTAGTTTCAATCAGTGCCCATAATATAATATGTAGTCAAGAAATTAACTTAGTACCTTTGTTATGGTAGTGAAAGAAAGCTGTGCGTCATCTAGGCATTGTTTCACACTACATTCGAGTTACCGTAGCAAGACTCCACGATTTGCATGCAATTGACAGAGGCCCTCTTGTACGAGAATAATTTACAAACTGATAATTTTACTGCAGATTATAGATTTTTGTCGCAGTTGTTTCAGATATTTCTTTAACAATTCATTATTGTTATTTACTACATATATTCTTTGACATACATTATGCAGTATAATTGATAACTTGCAGCTTGCAAAATTTCATCGATAATATATCAATTGATATTAACTGTGCAAGAGAGCCAACGTGTGTAGAGAGGAGCAGGTGAAACATAGATCAGAAGCGAAAGCGCGTCACTTTTTGCAAGCAGAAAGTATTTCGTGATGGTGGTGTATTCCTCGAAGTTACGTTTCTCTATTGTTCTCTCCACGAGTCACCGTGTGCTCTAATTTGTCTCATTCTATCATTGAATCAGCCTTGAATTAGCTTTTCTACTCTGTCTGTGACAGAAGTTTATTTCATCTGTAAATTCACACTCTTTAGGAATGACATCTTTTTGAAATAGAAAAATCAATCAAACGTGTATCTAATATCAAGGGTTCGTTTCGAATAGTGGTTACACCGTCATGTAAAAACGTCATGTACAAAAGAAACAAAGCGCGACAATTTCATCGAACAAGAACCAAGGGGAGACCTAAACCTTGAAATCTTTCTCTGAAACGTTCCGCCACAGAAACAGAAAAAAAACTCTGTTTTCACGGTGGAAATCGTTTTCTCTCGAACAACAACAACAACAACAACAACAATTTTCTAGACAATAGGACGGAAAGACGAAAATGGACCGTTGAGTGTACCGTTGCCTCGGCAAATGAATGAACGAAACGCGTCAAATAAATGATGACGTTCTAAAAGCGTGGACAGATTTCCGCCAGAGCACAGACGAACAGAGAAAGAGAGAGAGAGATACGTTCCTGTATACGAAAGAAAAGGACAGAGATCGTGACACGCTCGTAAAAGGCAGCTCGTAAAAATGTACGCTTCTGGCGACGCGATCGTAAAGGCACTTCCGCTTCAATCCTTCCTGGCGTTGCCACTTTTTGGAACTTTTCGAACGATAAGTCGAGCACGTCACGTGCGAATCACGACCGACATTTCGGCCGAAATTTTCTACCT